CCCCAAAACCCCAAAACCCCAAAACCCCTAAATATCAAATTTAAGTTTCCAACACAGGTAATAGAATTCCTTAAATTAAATTAATAGATAATAAAATTCATTTTAATAAAGTCATAAGAATATTCGACTATCTGGCTATAGAAAAAAAAGAGTAGCCAATTGAAATTTTTAATTAAGTTATGAATATTTACAAACATAATCATGAGATGATGATATATTCAAGCACAAGTAAGAATGACTCAACTGGGTTAATAAATTTTATGAAAACATAAATTCTCAGTATTATTTCATTAACATGAGTCAAACTTAAAGCTTGAGATCTAAGACTTCATTTGAAATGTATATATTCAGTAGCAAGACCTTTTCTTCATTAGTTTCTTGTCTAGATCTGGCTATTGTACTATTGATCCAGCTTCTGTAAGTCATCAGCTTCTATATAGCTGTTTTCACTAATAACAAAAGATTTATCTGCTTAACTCTCAGCTTCATCATCATCATTATGACCAATTTAACTTCCAGCATCCTCATCAAATTCTTGATTATTATCAAACAGCTCTTTTGTTAATAGACCATTTAAAGCCCTCTATTAAAATTAATGACATAAAAATACATCTAATGCAACAGATAGCTCAACTATTGCTTTATCTCTTTCTTAGATTAATTCATCTTTCTACGAATTTTATTATTCAAGTTACTAGACTCTTGATCTTAACTAAAGTAAATTGTCAATTGATTGATATAAAAGTTAAATATTATACTCTAGGATTTGAATTCTTACCCATTCATTTTGGTTGGCAACTTCATTTAGAGCATTTTTCAGAATTTGAATATAATTCTAGTCTAAATTTGATGTACTTTCATTATAGCCATGATTAAGGCTCTCAAAGGTATTTCTAGTAGATTACTACTATCTCTTGGACTGTAACATTTATCTCTTACTTCCCTTCCTTGTTGTAGAGTTAGGAGAATCCAATGTCAATGAAATTATATTGGCAGTAGTGTTTGTCAAATTAGAGCCATTGAATTGATTTGAAGATGCTTAAGTTTGATTGAGGATGGAGTTGCTACCATAGTTAGGAGAGAGTTCTATTCCTTAGTTTTTCTGCACCGATCCATGTTTATAGCCCTATTTAGCATTAGCATATAAAGAAGTGGAACTCATTGAATTTTTAAAATATTATTATAAAGTGAGGATCAATTAAAATACTTACCTAACTTTACTCATTTTATGTAAAGCTTGTATTGTCATTTCTGTTGAAAAGGAAGGGGTTATTAATTCTCTAGGTTCCCTTTTACAAATTGAGGAATGGATTCACAGTTGAGTTCTTATTCTATTTTTATTCTTTTTAATTGTCCACAATCTGCCCTTCACATTAACTCTATTTCAATTTAGAGTTCAATTCATTGTTCATTAACCCAAAAGTTTCTTTTAATTGACCATTTGCAGCAACATTATTCTGTTGATCAACCTAAATTCCATATATGACTTTTAATTTCAATTAAAATACAAACTAACGACTAAATAGTCCTTTCTTAGTTGAATTTAGTAGATTTATAGATGTCTGATCAGACTCATTTTGATTAGAAATTGAATTTCTCAGTTAGTTTCTTGTCATTCTTGCTGGAGATTAGTGTAGGTTCTTGAATTCAAAGCTTTAAGGTTATCCGCTATTCATATTTTTTTGTAATTTAAAATATATTTGTTTATTTTTGTAGAAATAATAAAAAAATGCTTTGATTCAGAACGGCGGGGTTTTGGGGTTTTGGGGTTTTGGGG